GGTGCCAATAAAAAATATTTGGGGTTGAAAACTTGAAAAATAAGGTAAAACAAAGGGAAATCAGGAACGTGTGTGAGAACTGTGCAGAACAATTGTGAACTACCGATACAGCAAGACATTGAAAATGGCGCCACACCAGAAATTTTCAAAAACCATCGATACCTCCAACTACCGTCGACTCAGGGGAGATAATACTATTAATTACCTCAAAAAATTTTAAAATTCGTATTAAATTAAAAATAATACAGGCACCTAATTAAAGTGGTACTTATAAGTACCGTCAGTAGATAAAGGGTTAAAAAAGAAATGTTTTTTCCTCTAGCTTGTTTCATTATACAATCAACCATTCAACGAAATACCCCATATCGTATTCCAATGTGAACAATAATTTGCTATTGTATGTCAATTGTATGACCTTAATCTAACAAACTTATAGTCCAAATATATATACTATATCATAAAAGAGACTGTTCCAAAGATAAAACATAAAAAGACTGTCCTAGACGAATTAGCACCGCTACAATATTTTTTTCTGACATTACTAATCATCATCTTTAAAGGATAATGCATCTTAAGGGGAATTTAATTGGCGTTGAGTTGAGTTTTAGGGAACGACAATCATACAGTGTAACTATTAATTTTTTTCAAGACACACAAATACATACACATACACACACACACAAACATATATATATATATATATATATATATATATATATATATATATATATATATATATATATATATATATATATATATATATATATATATATGGCGGGGCGCCAAACTGAATGTTCGCCCCGGGCGCCGGGAGGGGTCGCTACGCCTCTGAGGTAGCGTGGGAGGGGCGGGGGTGCGGACCGCACCGGGTGACACCATTTGGGGGGGGGGGTGACACCAAGGCAAAAAATAGCAAAATACATAGAGTTAAATGATAATTCCACTTAATTAAGCGATTAATTTGAGTGTTAAATAGTCTTTTTAAGAGGTGCAAATCGAAAGTTTGAGGGTGGGGGGGGGGGGGGGGGTGTGCAAATCGAAAATTGTTAGTTTGTCTCCGGGAAGGGTCGCTACGCCTCTTGTGGGTGACACCATTAAGTGCCGCTCCGGGTGACACGTGACCTCGCTACGCCACTGTATAGGCATATGTATTTTAATGTTATACTTGTTTGAGAAAAAAAAGTTATTGGTCGAAACGATGTGTACTTTACTACACGTTGAACGATATTAGTGACAAAGCAAAGAAATAAGTAAATATCTTTAAAAATCCGACACATTTTAAAATAACAGACTACCACTACCGTTAAAAAATTACCAATACCTCTCTTAGAAAAATTAAAACCAAATTATATACATTATTAGTCAACACAAAACTATATGAAATCCACACACTGATTATGAGACTTAAATGATTTCGTTAAAAGTTCGGCTGTTCAATGGTAGCTATGTTGTTTTTAAAAGTAAATTTTATAAGATTAGGCCGAGAAAATTGTATCCATTTCATAGCGCACGTCTTGATAAGTAGATCTAAATCAAATTTGAGTAAAATATTTAATTCTTTATATTCTAAAATTGGAAGATGACACCATAAGTTTTGTGTTCTTTCCTTAGATTAAACATGTGGCACGTGACGTCATTGTTTATTGCGTTCTTTTCACAACAATAAGTGTTTTTTCCGCTGGCATAATTAAAATTGTGTTTCTACATTCGAATATGCCTTTATTTTTATTTTCTTCTTTACATAAAATTTAGTTCATACATTTATAACATCCACCATATTATTTTCAAAAAAATTCCGTATCTTTAAGTTCTCCATATATCGCTGAACATACTGATCCCATCGCCTAAAAAAAAAACAACTTGCGGACAGAGTGAGAGAGAGAGAGAGAGAGAGAGAAGTGCGCACATGGTCTTTTATATATTAGGATTGTTTTTTTCTTTCACTCAAACTCAAACACACATTCTCACGCCCACGCACGCTAGTCTAAATGCCTTGTTATGGGGCTTGAGAATTTAAAATAAAATGTATTTATTTCAAGTTTTTAAAGGGTACTTGAGTACCGTTTCGTTGTAGGCCTCTAGGTATTATATCAAATTTGTAGTTCTGCATTGCGTTTTTTTTTTTTACGATTTCCTGTTGCCGGTTTCTGAAAAGCCAATAATTTGAGTACCGTTTACGTTTCGTGGACGAAATTTCACATATAAGTTATACCTTGTATGCGTATGCTTCTTGTACTTTCGTTTAAAAAGGCTATAACTTGAGCACTGTTCAAGGTAGTTAGACAAAACTCCGTATGTAAGTACAAGATCTTAAACTTGGATTACTTTCCGATAGTCGGAAGTGGACTTGACTCTATTTCTGGACTCTATAATTCTAAAAACTTGAGTAACATTTTCAGTCATTTCCACGGGTAGACGATATTTTAAACATAGGTATAAGATCTTATTCTCTTGACTCTTTCCAATTTTTAGGGATTTTCAGTCAACGGAAGTATGACTTCACGCTATTTCAGATTTCTGAAAAAAAATATTACTTTTTTACCAGACAGATTTCTTCAAAAATTTTCACGTAGGCTTAGACTCGAAGACAACGAATTGTAGGATAACATTTGGCTGAATTAGATGCAAAATTTACTTTGTTTACGTTTTGCGCAATTTTTAAAAAATACGCGATTGACTATCTATCTTTATTATATTACTAGCCGTCCCGGCCAGGCCCTGCTCTGGCTTCTGTGAAAAAACTTTCTGTTAAAGACCATTACCTGTGTGTTTAGTAATCATCATAAACCCGGCATTGCCCACCCAAACCACAACCAACAAAAACCAAAACAACAAAACGCAAACATAACGCTAACACAATTACAAATACAAACGAAAACAAAAACCTTACAACAAACCCAACCACAACCACAAACACCAATACAAACACAAAGAAAAAACAAACAAAAAAGCAAACGAAAACAAAAACCTAACAACAAGCCCAACCACAACCACAAACACCAATACCAACCAATAACAACACACAAAAAAAACGAAAAAGCAAACGAAAACAAACCAAATCCAAACGTAAAACCAACCAAAAATACAAATACAAACCCAAAGAAAAAAACACAAACAAAAACGAAAAAAGAAAGAACAAAAACGAACCAAATCAAACCGCAACCACTAACGCAAACCCAACGGAATCGACTGTTTTAGCTTAATAAACGACTATAGTAACCCAACTTATTCATAGTCTTTTGCACTCACTTAAACGAACGCGCCTGTTTCAATTTAATGAAAAATTTTAATATCCCAAGCTTATCCGTAAAATACCTACAACATTTGCACTTGATCAATCCCCGCTAATTATGTAATTATTTTTTTCCCAACACCAAAACAAAGTAATAAAAAGTAAATTCTTTTCCACTAATGCAATGGTTTTATAAAGGGAAGTAATTGTGTTTTCCTAATTTATCAAAGGGAAGTAAGTGCTATAGGACTAAATAAAGACATAATTAGAATTTTTGTAAAAGATGATATTTTTTTTAAAACTTGTGTGTAATGAACATGCCGAAAATTATTACTTTCAGTTTGATAAATGAAAATTATTTCCCAAAACTTTCAATATTAATTTTTTAACTCATAAATTTAGACCATAAGGACTTTAATTATCTAACACTTAAATCCATCAAAGTATGTCAACGACAAACCTATTACATACAGAATTGAGCTTTATATATTAGATACTAACCGTCCTGGCCAGGCCCTGCACTTGCCTCTGTTAAAAACCTATCTGTAAAGGACCATGACATGTGTATCTAGTAATCAGCATATAGTATATGATATACCCAGCATTGCCCACCCTAACCACAACCAACCAAAACCAAAACACGAAAAAACACAAACATAACACAAAAGAAAACACAAACGCAAACCCAATCACAAACACAATGAAAACACAAACAAAAAAGCAAACGAAAACAAACCAAATCGCCCGACCTAGCGGCGTCAATATAATGGCACAATTGTTAGGCAAAATCTTTGGTGTAGGTCTAGAAAATAATAATTAAGACTAATGGGGTTCTGTAATTATTTGATCTAAAATACATTTAAATTCAAATTTTAAAGAAAATACAAATCCCACTTTCTTTCATACCTTTACCAGACATCTGGTTTTATTTTATATTTACCCAATTTACAATAAACAAGATCTAGACTACGCAGACTAAAACTTTACAAATGAACAGTCATACATAGATAACTAACATATGGCATATTCGCTAGCAATTAATCAGACTTGAGATGGTTTTAATTTATTTTAATGACTTGCCATCCATTATTTCAGCATACATACATATTTATTATATATACAGGGCTTATTAAAGTGAAATAAATAGATTTATAGTTACCTAATCCATTTTCTGATGGGCACCAACTATGTACACAATCTATGGACTGCTAGAATATTTAGGGCTCCATTAATTTAATAATTTACATGTAGTTGTTAGTTGAGGTAAATTAATTTACATGCAGTTGTTAGTTGAGGTATATTAATTTACATGCAGTTGTTAGTTGAGGTATATTAATTTACATGTAGTTGTTAATTGAGGTAAATTAATTTACATGCAGTTGTTAGTTGAGGTATATTAATTTACATGTAGTTGTTAGTTGAGGTATATTAATTTACATGTAGTCGTGAGTAAATTTGGTCTCATTCTGATTGTTTTAATTCTTTACACGGAAATACATTTGGATCTTTGACTCCATTTGATGGTAGGGCTTACAGCAATGGCACCAAACTTACAACTGTTTTGCTGTATCTGATGACAGAGACAAACTTACAAGTGTTTTGCTGGTAGTTATCAAGTTTCAAAATATACCAAAATATTTGTAACCGTCTAAGTGCTAACAGATAAGAATAAAACATGTTCATCAATCTGTAAACATTGTTGATCAATGTAAACGTCGATTCACATTTTCTCTCGTTACAAACTAAAAATTGTGTACTTGCTTTCACATTCAGAAGTTTTTGGAGTTTATTTTAGACTGGCCATTTCCCTGCAAACATGGGAAGGGATAAATAATTCGGACCTGCATGAATAGATGGTACAGCATGCTTGAGTTACACTAGATCTTGTGTTCTGGGCCACATCAGGTCACATCAAGTCACAGCTGGTGGGTTGTTGGGTCACAGCTGGTGGGTTGTTGGGTCACAGCTGGTGGCATATGAGGTCACAGCTGGTGGGTTGTTGGGTTACAGCTGGTGGATTGTTGGGTCACAGTTTATCAACGTCACTTTGTGACAGTTCAAATGTTGGTTCAACTGCTGCGTTTAAATGTATAATTTAGTTGGAGAAGTTCATATGACATCTTTTTAATGTTGGTCTAATTATAGTCTAATTACATTGTGTGTTCTATGGCATTCTAATGGTGTTGTGTGTATTACTGGTGTTGTGTGTTCTAATGGTGTTATGTGTTCTAATGGTGTTCTAACGGTGCTCTAAAAATGTGGAAGGAAAAAGTGCGTCATGCTCGATGGACTGAAAATATTTTTTTTGGGCCAACTTAATTGTCTTGTGTAATATGCCCGTATAATGTGAAGACATATGCCCGTATAATGTGAAGACATATGCCCGTATAATGTGAAGACATATGCCCGTATAATGTGAAGACATATGCCCGTATAATGTGAAGACATATGCGCGTATAATGTGAAGACATTTGCCCCTACTGTGCTGCAGTCTTCTGGGCATATGCTGCATACAGCTTGTGGATGTCCTGATGGACAGCCTCCATGACGCTGTACAAGTCTCCCAGCATCTGCTGACCTGTCTGGTCGTCTGGCACACCCATCTTCTCCAGGAGACTCGCGCGGCTCGGGAAACTCAGCAGGGCGATATGCACGCCGACCTTGACATACCACTCGTGGTGGGGCGCCAGTACCTCGTCGTAGGCGACCTTGGCCTTGGAGCTCATGGACTCATCACTGGTCTCATCACGGAGGCCGTTGATGACCTCCAGGATAAAGGTCATGGCACGGTGGAGCCACCTAGTGGCACTAACACCCTCAGTGTCGGCCGTGGCCCCTGCAGGAGAGTATTCGTATTCGAACATACTTTGTAGGGATTCGTACTTGCTCTGCTTGCCATGGGAGTCTGCTGCCCTGAGCCGGTTGAGGATGACCAGTTTACTCCGGATGTCATCGCCAGCGAATGAAAATATTGGGCCGAAAATGGTGAAAATTCTGTGGGAACAAATTTCACATGTTTTTCTATAGCAGTGATTTAAGGATTTGTCAAAAAAGAATTGACTGATATAAAGAAATAATTAAATAAAAACCCCATTCACAGTTACAATTTAGAGTTGCCCCCATGCCCCCCCCCCCTAATGTTTAACTACCCAAATAGCTACATGTAAGCACTTATCTAAGCATGTAATGGTATGATGCAATTATGATATACCCACCCAAGCAGCTCATTGTAAGCACTTATGTAAGCATGTAATGGTATGATGCAATTATGATATACCCACCCAAGCAGCTCATTGTAAGCACTTATGTAAGCATGTAATGGTATGATGTAATTATGATATACTCACCCAAGCAGCTCATTGTAAGCACTTATGTAAGCATGTAATGGTATGATGTAATTATGATATACTCACCCAAGCAGCTCATTGTAAGCACTTATGTAAGCATGTAATGGTATGATGTAATCGTTGCTGCCAGTCTGGAGTGTCAAACAGTTTTTGAACAGTGACGTCAGTCTCGTGACGTCAAACTTGCGGTCACGTGGTGGGACTGATGACGTCATCAGCAGGTCAGACCTTGACATTGATGACACTGCAGCGGATACTGGCACTGTGGACTAGAAGTCAAAAATTGACCTGCAGGTTAAAGGTCATAGGCTGCACTTAACATTCAAATGTATAAATAATTTTTTTCTTATAAGCTCTGAACGAATATTTTTCAATCCGTCATCATATTGTATTTGGCATCATCGGAAAGCTGGATTTCTCAAGTATCTATCTATATATATAATTCTCTTCTGGGAGCCGTTAGAAAACAAGCTGCAAGCGCCTCCTTGCAGTCCCCTCTCCTTCTCTCTATCACTATCACTACCACCCCCACCCCACCCCCACATTGTCTGGTGAGTTGTGGTCACGCTAAATGTTTACAAAGCTAAATGTTTACAAATCGTAGAGCCGTAGAGCCGGGTTTCTATTAGGGGCAGATAATTTAGTTCGATTTTAAACTTACAGGAGGTAACTAAGAAATAACTAAGAGGAGGCTGCTTTCACTGGGGGGGGGGGGGGGGTTTAGGGTCGGGGTTAGGGGAAAGGGGAGGGGGTTAGTGTTTTAAAGCAAATATTTTCAGTGGCAGCATTGGTACTGTCGAATTCACAAATTATGAATTACTGAAAAGTAGAAAATAAAACAACTAAATAGCGGCTATGATACGCTGCGGGTCGGCTCGTTTTTTATAATCGTATTTTCAATCATCTCAGAAACACCCAAAGCTTACAAACGGCTTTACAAATTACACAGATATGGTATTTTTGCCTCCGACTTTTTGTTTCTTTTTGCTGTTTTTCAAACCTTGTAAAATTCTGACCAGTAGCTCTTTCAACAATTTGTCGTGACAAAAATTTTAATATATACTGAAATATATACTGAAATATATTAAAATTTAATTGCTATAAGTGCATAAATTAAAAAAAAGTCTTAGGGTTTATAAAAGTACTTGAGATCTTAAACAGTGTTTCTTTCAGACTTTTTTCTACGGGGGACGGGGCACTTTATATTTTCGGGAGGGGGCGGACAACATTTTCCGGAGGGGGGGAGGGCGGACACTGGTAAAAGTATGTTTTCTATATATATTCCATTTCGTTCTGTGGGGGGGGGGGGGGGGGGGGAGAGGGGTAGACTTTCTTGCCTGGAAGAAACTCTGATCTTAAATATTTTTACTATCAAGGGAAGCTATATATCGATGACGTTATACTATTTATTTATTATTTATTTACATTGTTATTCCCCTTTACCTGTGCTGTACTTGCCACTGGTGAAGATATCTTTGAGCCATGCTGCAGTTTAACTTTCTTGCCTTTTGTAGTCGATTGCTTCTTCCGTTTTCTAGCACGATTTTTGCTTTGAGCATCCGGTGACCTTTTGTTATCGGGTGACCTTGAGGTTGAGGGGACGGGTGGGGCAGACGAGGATGACGTCAGCAACAACCGAGGTTGTGTATATGTGCTGGGGGTGGCGTGTTGGTCTCGCATCTCATTGGCCGCCCGATGTCTCTTGTCCTGTGTGCTGGCAGGTAGAAAAACTAATCAAAACACCCAGCCCACCTGAGCTAAAACCACCCAGCCCACCTCAACTAAAACCACCAAGCCCACCTGAGCTAAAACCACCCAGCCCACCTCAACTAAAACCACCCAGTCCACCTGAGCTAAAACCACCCAGTCCACCTGAGCTAAAACCACCCCAGCTCACTTGAGCTAAAACCACCCAGCCCCCAGCTCACCTGAGCTAAAACCACCCAGCCCACCTCAACTAAAACCACCAAGCCCACCTGAGCTAAAACCACCCAGCCCACCTCAACTAAAACCACCCAGTCCACCTGAGCTAAAACCACCCAGTCCACCTGAGCTAAAACCACCCCAGCTCACTTGAGCTAAAACCACCCAGCCCCCAGCTCACCTGAGCTAAAACCACCCAGCCCACCTCAACTAAAACCACCAAGCCCACCTGAGCTAAAACCACCCAGTCCACATGAGCTAAAACCACCCCAGCTCACTTGAGCTAAAACCACCCAGTCCACCTGAGCTAAAACCACCCAGCCCCCAGTCCACCTGAGCTAAAACCACCCCAGTTCACCTGAGCTAAAACCACCCCAGCTCACCTGAGCTAAAACCACCCAGCCCCCAGCCCACGTGAGCTAAAAACCACCCAGCCCCCAGTCCACCTGAGCTAAAACCACCCCAGCTCACTTGAGCTAAAACCACCCAGCCCCCAGCCCACGTGAGCTAAAAACCACCCAGCCCCCAGCCCACCTGAGCTAAAACCACCCCAGCTCACCTGAGCTAAAACCACCCAGCCCCCAGCCCACGTGAGCTAAAAACCACCCAGCCCCCAGTCCACCTGAGCTAAAACCACCCAGCCCCCAGCTCACCTGAGCTAAAACCACCCAGCCCACCTCAACTAAAACCATCCAGTCCACCTGAGCTAAAACCACCCAGTCCACCTGAGCTAAAACCACCCCAGCTCACCTGAGCTAAAACCACCCAGCCCCCAGTCCACCTGAGCTAAAACCACCCATCCCACCTCAACTAAAACCATCCAGTCCACCTGAGCTAAAACCACCCAGTCCACCTGAGCTAAAACCACCCAGCCCCCAGTCCACCTGAGCTAAAACCACCCATCCCACCTCAATTAAAACCATCCAGTCCACCTGAGCTAAAACCACCCAGCCCCCAGTCCACCTGAGCTAAAACCACCCATCCCACCTCAACTAAAACCATCCAGTCCACCTGAGCTAAAACCACCCAGCCCTCAGTCCACCTGAGCTAAAACCACCCATCCCACCTCAACTAAAACCACCCAGCCCACCTCAACTAAAACCACCCAGCTCACATGAGCTAAAACCACCCAGCCCACCTCAACTAAAGCCACCCCAGCTCACCGGAGCTAAAACCACCCAGTCCACCTGAGCTAAAACCACCCCAATTCACCTGAGCTAAAACCACCCCAGCCCACCTGAGCTAAAACCACCAAGCCCACCTGAGCTAAAACCACCAAGCCCACCTGAGCTAAAACCACCCAGCCCCCAGTCCACCTGAGCTAAAACCACCCCAGCTCACCGGAGCTAAAACCACCCAGCTCACCTGAGCTAAAACCACCCCAGCTCACCTGAGCTAAAACCACCCAGACCCAGCCCACCTGAGCTAAAACCACCCCAGCTCACCTGAGTTAAAACCACCCAGCCCCCAGCCCACGTGAGCTAAAAACCACCCAGCCCCCAGTCCACCTGAGCTAAAACCACCCCAGCTCACCTGAGCTAAAACCACCCAGCCCCCAGTCCACCTGAGCTAAAACCACCCATTCCACCTCAACTAAAACCACCCAGCCCACCTGAGCTAAAAACCACCCAGCCCCCAGTCCACCTGAGCTAAAACCACCCCAGCTCACCTGAGTTAAAACCACCCAGCCCCCAGCCCACGTGAGCTAAATACCACCCAGCCCCCAGTCCACCTGAGCTAAAACCACCCCAGCTCACCTGAGCTAAAACCACCCAGCCCCCAGTCCACCTGAGCTAAAACCACCCATTCCACCTCAACTAAAACCACCCAGCCCACCTGAGCTAAAACCATCCAGCCCCCAGTCCACCTGAGCTAAAAACCACCCAGCCCCCAGTCCACCTGAGCTAAAACCACCCCAGCCCACCTGAGCTAAAACCACCCAGCCCCCAGCCCACGTGAGCTAAAAACCACCCAGCCCCCAGTCCACCTGAGCTAAAACCACCCCAGCTCACCTGAGCTAAAACCACCCAGCCCCCAGCCCACGTGAGCTAAAAACCACCCAGCCCCCAGTCCACCTGAGCTAAAACCACCCAGCCCCCAGCTCACCTGAGCTAAAACCACCCAGCCCACCTCAACTAAAACCATCCAGTCCACCTGAGCTAAAACCACCCAGTCCACCTGAGCTAAAACCACCCAGTCCACCTGAGCTAAAACCACCCCAGCTCACCTGAGCTAAAACCACCCAGCCCCCAGTCCACCTGAGCTAAAACCACCCATCCCACCTCAACTAAAACCATCCAGTCCACCTGAGCTAAAACCACCCAGTCCACCTGAGCTAAAACCACCCAGCCCCCAGTCCACCTGAGCTAAAACCACCCATCCCACCTCAACTAAAACCATCCAGTCCACCTGAGCTAAAACCACCCAGCCCCCAGTCCACCTGAGCTAAAACCACCCATCCCACCTCAACTAAAACCATCCAGCCCACCTGAGCTAAAACCACCCAGCCCCCAGTCCACCTGAGCTAAAACCACCCATCCCACCTCAACTAAAACCATCCAGTCCACCTGAGCTAAAACCACCCAGCCCCCAGTCCACCTGAGCTAAAACCACCCATCCCATCCCACCTCAACTAAAACCACCCAGCCCACCTGAACTAAAACCACCCAGCCCACATGAGCTAAAACCACCCAGCCCACCTCAACTAAAGCCACCCCAGCTCACCGGAGCTAAAACCACCCAGTCCACCTGAGCTAAAACCACCCCAATTCACCTGAGCTAAAACCACCCCAGCCCACCTGAGCTAAAACCACCAAGCCCACCTGAGCTAAAACCACCAAGCCCACCTGAGCTAAAACCACCCAGCCCCCAGTCCACCTGAGCTAAAACCACCCCAGCTCACCGGAGCTAAAACCACCCAGCTCACCTGAGCTAAAACCACCCCAGCTCACCTGAGCTAAAACCACCCAGCCCCCAGCCCACCTGAGCTAAAACCACCCCAGCTCACCTGAGTTAAAACCACCCAGCCCCCAGCCCACGTGAGCTAAAAACCACCCAGCCCCCAGTCCACCTGAGCTAAAACCACCCCAGCTCACCTGAGCTAAAACCACCCAGCCCCCAGTCCACCTGAGCTAAAACCACCCATTCCACCTCAACTAAAACCACCCAGCCCACCTGAGCTAAAAACCACCCAGCCCCCAGTCCCCCTGAGCTAAAACCACCCCAGCTCACCTGAGTTAAAACCACCCAGCCCCCAGCCCACGTGAGCTAAAAACCACCCAGCCCCCAGTCCACCTGAGCTAAAACCACCCCAGCTCACCTGAGCTAAAACCACCCAGCCCCCAGTCCACCTGAGCTAAAACCACCCATTCCACCTCAACTAAAACCACCCAGCCCACCTGAGCTAAAACCATCCAGCCCCCAGTCCACTTGAGCTAAAAACCACCCAGCCCCCAGCCCACCTGAGCTAAAACCACCCCAGCTCACCTGAGCTTAAACCACCCCAGCTCACCTGAGCTAAAACCACCCAGCCCCCAGCCCACCTGAGCTAAACACCACCCAGCCCCCAGTCCACCTGAGCTAAAAACCACCCAGCCCCCAGCCCACCTGAGCTAAAACCACCCCAGCTCACCTGAGCTAAAACCAAACCAGCTCACCTGAGCTAAAACCACCCAGCCCCCAGCCCACGTGAGCTAAAAACCACCCAGCCCCCAGCCCACCTGTGCTAAAACCACCCCAGCTCACCTGAGCTAAAACCACACAGCCCCCAGCCCACCTGAGCTAAAAACCACCCAGCCCCCAGTCCACCTGAGCTAAAAACCACCCAGCCCCCAGCCCACCTGAGCTAAAACCACCCCAGCTCACCTGAGCTAAAACCACCCAGCCCCCAGCCCACGTGAGCTAAAAACCACCCAGCCCCCAGCCCATGGAGCTAAAACCACCCCAGCTCACCTGAGCTAAAACCACCCCAGCTCACCTGAGCTAAAACCACCAAGCCCACCTGAGATAAAACCACCAAGCCCACCTGAGCTAAAACCACCCCAGCTCACCGGAGTTAAAACCACCCAGTCCACCTGAGCTAAAACCACCCCAGCTCACCTGAGCTAAAACCACCATCCCACCTCAACTAAAACCATCCAGCCCACCTCAACTAAAGCCACCCAGCCCCCAGTCCACCTGAGCTAAAACCACCATCCCACCTCAACTAAAACCACCTAGCCCACCTCAACTAAAGCCACCCCAGCTCACCGGAGCTAAAACAACCCAGTCCACCTGAGCTAAAACCACCCCAGCTCAACTGAGCTAAAACCACCCCAGCCCACCTGAGCTAAAACCACCAAGCCCACCTGAGCTAAAACCATCCCAGCTCACCTGAGCTTAAGGTTGTAGACCTTGTGTTCCCCGGGAATGTCCGCATACAGTTGCTCTATGTCACGTGCCAGCACACGTGACAACTCCTGGTACTGAGCTCCGCTCTTATCGCCCAGAAGGTCATCGACCTTTCGAGCCGGAAGCCGGAGACGAACCGTGAACCGGACTGTGATAGAGAACGTTACACTCATTGATCAACTCTGACGGACTGTGATAGAGAACGTTACACTCATTGATCAACTCTGACGGACTGTGATAGAGAACGTTACACTCATTGATCAACTCTGACGGACTGTGATGGAGAACGTTACACTCATTGATCAACTCTGACGGATTGTGATAGAGAACGTTACACTCATTGACCGGACTGTGATAGAGAACGTTACACTCATTGATCAACTCTGACGGACTGTGATAGAGAACGTTACACTCATTGATCAACTCTGACGGACTGTGATAGAGAACGTTACACTCATTGATCAACTCTGACGGACTGTGATAGAGAACGTTACACTCATTGATCAACTCTGACGGACTGTGATAGAGAACGTTACACTCATTGATCAACTCTGACGGACTGTGATAGAGAACGTTACACTCATTGACCGGACTGTGATAGAGAACGTTACACTCATTGATCAACTCTGACGGACTGTGATAGAGAACGTTACACTCATTGATCAACTCTGACGGACTGTGATAGAGAACGTTACACTCATTGATCAACTCTGACGGACTGTGATAGAGAACGTTACACTCATTGACCGGACTGTGATAGAGAACGTTACACTCATTGATCAACTCTGACGGACTGTGATAGAGAACGTTACACTCATTGATCAACTCTGACGGACTGTGATAGAGAACGTTACACTCATTGATCAACTCTGACGGACTGTGATAGAGAACGTTACACTCATTGATCAACTCTGACGGACTGTGATAGAGAACGTTACACTCATTGATCAACTCTGACGGACTGTGATAGAGAACGTTACACTCATTGATCAACTCTGACGGACTGTGATAGAGAACGTTACACTCATTGATCAACTCTGACGGACTGTGATAGAGAACGTTACACTCATTGATCAACTCTGACGGACTGTGATAGAGAACGTTAAACTCATTGATCAACTCTGACGGACTGTGATAGAGAACGTTACACTCATTGATCAACTCTGACGGACTGTGATAGAGAACGTTACACTCATTGATCAACTCTGACGGACTGTGATAGAGAACGTTACACTCATTGATCAACTCTGACGGACTGTGATAGAGAACGTTACACTCATTGATCAACTCTGACGGACTGTGATAGAGAACGTTACACTCATTGATCAACTCTGACGGACTGTGATAGAGAACGTTACACTCATTGTTCAACTCTGACGGACTGTGATAGAGAACGTTACACTCATTGATCAACTCTGACGGACTGTGATAGAGAACGTTACACTCATTGTTCAACTCTGACGGACTGTGATAGAGAACGTTACACTCATTGATCAACTCTGACGGACTGTGATAGAGAACGTTACACTCATTGATCAACTCTGACGGACTGTGATAGAGAACGTTACACTCATTGATCAACTCTGACGGACTGTGATAGAGAACGTTACACTCATTGATCAACTCTGACGGACTGTGATAGAGAACGTTACACTCATTGATCAACTCTGACGGACTGTGATAGAGAACGTTACACTCATTGATCAACTCTGACGGACTGTGATAGAGAACGTTACACTCATTGATCAACTCTGACGGACTGTGATAGAGAACGTTACACTCATTGATCAACTCTGACGGACTGTGATAGAGAACGTTACACTCATTGACCGGACTGTGATAGAGAACGTTACACTCATTGATCAACTCTGACGGACTGTGATAGAGAACGTTACACTCATTGATCAACTCTGACGGACTGTGATAGAGAACGTTACACTCATTGATCAACTCTGACGGACTGTGATAGAGAACGTTACACTCATTGACCGGACTGTGATAGAGAACGTTACACTCATTGATCAACTCTGACGGACTGTGATAGAGAACGTTACACTCATTGATCAACTCTGACGGACTGTGATAGAGAACGTTACACTCATTGATCAACTCTGACGGACTGTGATAGAGAACGTTACACTCATTGATCAACTCTGACGGACTGTGATAGAGAACGTTACACTCATTGATCAACTCTGACGGACTGTGATAGAGAACGTTACACTCATTGATCAACTCTGACGGACTGTGATAGAGAACGTTACACTCATTGATCAACTCTGACGGACTGTGATAGAGAACGTTACACTCATTGATCAACTCTGACGGACTGTGATAGAGAACGTTACACTCATTGATCAACTCTGACGGACTGTGATAGAGAACGTTACACTCATTGATCAACTCTGACGGACTGTGATAGAGAACGTTACACTCATTGATCAACTCTGACGGACTGTGATAGAGAACGTTAAACTCATTGATCAACTCTGACGGACTGTGATAGAGAACGTTACACTCATTGATCAACTCTGACGGACTGTGATAGAGAACGTTACACTCATTGATCAACTCTGACGGACTGTGATAGAGAACGTTACACTCATTGATCAACTCTGACGGACTGTGATAGAGAACGTTACACTCATTGATCAACTCTGACGGACTGTGATAGAGAACGTTACACTCATTGATCAACTCTGACGGACTGTGATAGAGAACGTTACACTCATTGTTCAACTCTGACGGACTGTGATAGAGAACGTTACACTCATTGATCAACTCTGACGGACTGTGATAGAGAACGTTACACTCATTGTTCAACTCTGACGGACTGTGATAGAGAACGTTACACTCATTGATCAACTCTGACGGACTGTGATAGAGAACGTTACACTCATTGATCAACTCTGACGGACTGTGATAGAGAACGTTACACTCATTGATCAACTCTGACGGACTGTGATAGAGAACGTTACACTCATTGATCAACTCTGACGGACTGTGATAGAGAACGTTACACTCATTGATCAACTCTGACGGACTGTGATAGAGAACGTTACACTCATTGATCAACTCTGACGGACTGTGATAGAGAACGTTACACTCATTGATCAACTCTGACGGACTGTGATAGAGAACGTTACACTCATTGATCAACTCTGACGGACTGTGATAGAGAACGTTACACTCATTGACCGGACTGTGATAGAGAACGTTACACTCATTGATCAACTCTGACGGACTGTGATAGAGAACGTTACACTCATTGATCAACTCTGACGGACTGTGATAGAGAACGTTACACTCATTGATCAACTCTGACGGACTGTGATAGAGAACGTTACACTCATTGACCGGACTGTGATAGAGAACGTTACACTCATTGATCAACTCTGACGGACTGTGATAGAGAACGTTACACTCATTGATCAACTCTGACGGACTGTGATAGAGAACGTTACACTCATTGATCAACTCTGACGGACTGTGATAGAGAACGTTACACTCATTGATCAACTCTGACGGACTGTGATAGAGAACGTTACACTCATTGATCAACTCTGACGGACTGTGATAGAGAACGTTACACTCATTGATCAACTCTGACGGACTGTGATAGAGAACGTTACACTCATTGATCAACTCTGACGGACTGTGATAGAGAACGTTACACTCATTGATCAACTCTGACGGACTGTGATAGAGAACGTTACACTCATTGATCAACTCTGACGGACTGTGATAGAGAACGTTACACTCATTGATCAACTCTGACGGACTGTGATAGAGAACGTTACACTCATTGATCAACTCTGACGGACTGTGATAGAGAACGTTACACTCATTGATCAACTCTGACGGACTGTGATAGAGAACGTTACACTCATTGATCAACTCTGACGGACTGTGATAGAGAACGTTACACTCATTGATCAACTCTGACGGACTGTGATAGAGAACGTTACACTCATTGTTCAATTCTGACGGACTGTGATAGAGAACGTTACACTCATTGATCAACTCTGACGGACTGTGATAGAGAACGTTACACTCATTGATCAACTCTGACGGACTGTGATAGAGAACGTTACACTCATTGATCAACTCTGACGGACTGTGATAGAGAACGTTACACTCATTGATCAACTCTGACGGACTGTGATAGAGAACGTTACACTCATTGTTCAATTCTGACGGACTGTGATAGAGAACGTTACACTCATTGATCAACTCTGACGGACTGTGATAGAGAACGTTACACTCATTGATCAACTCTGACGGACTGTGATAGAGAACGTTACACTCATTGATCAACTCTGACGGACTGTGATAGAGAGCGTTACACTCATTGATCAACTCTGACAACATTCCTACAACTATTGGAATAGACCCCTGACAGCATTATTGGAATAGACCCCTGACAACATTCCTACAACTATTGGAAGAGACCCCTTCTCCATCAGCTACTGCATCATCATCGATTCCCCTTCCACCAGTCCTACATAGTAGCCTAAAGCTTTCTTAAATCTGAGACAAACCCAAATCTTCTTCCTATTACTGACCTACCTTTCTTTTTCGACAATTTCTCTTGAACTTTGACCTTGCTGGAGCCAGCGAGTCTGGTTTCATCCTGAAGTTCGTCGCCTCCTGCAACCTGTTAACCACGACAACAGATACATTACCATGACAACAGATACATTACCATGACAACAGATACATTACCATGACAACAGATACATTACCATGACAACAGATACATAACTAACAAATGAAACACTTACTTGTAGTATGAAAAATATGCAAACCTTTAAACTACTTCCATGACGAATATATATATATATATTCGACTATACATATATATATATATATATATATATATATATATATATATATATATATATATATATAATACATATATGTATGCATAATATATGTATTTATATACTATATGTACAATATGGAGGCCCAAAAAAAATTGCGTGGGGGTGGGGGGGGGGGGGGCGTTTCAATAAGATTTGCCTAGGGCGCTAAATAACCTGACACCGTCACTGGTTACCATGACAACAGATACATTACCACGACATTTCCTAATACATACTTTTTGAATTAAGTGGAAGCTTTTCATAAAGTCAGTTTCAAAAACGTTTCATCAAATAGATTTTCATCAAATAAAAACCATAAAAAAACATTTGATCAAACAGATTTGTATAAAATAAAAACCATAAAAAAACATTTGATCAAACAGATTTGCATAAAATAAAAACCATAAAAAAACATTAGAAACGACTTTTCAGTTCTCGTCCATGTTCTTTATCTTTAAAGTCTCCGACGAATGTCTTGAAATAACATTTAGATCTGGAATGCTTCCTCAAGCTCAGTAGAAAAAATAAACCGGGAGTGATCTCCCCTAAACTTTCTCGAATATTCTTATATAAAATAACAGGGGATGGGAACTCGGGCTATAGACATGATTTTTAATCCATTTTAAATACTTAAAGTTTTAAAAATAGAATAAAATCTCGTAGACAAATTAATTGCACACCATGTGAACGCGAATAAAAAAGCGCATAATAGTGCGCAATATTATTAGTACTTTTAAAATTTACATTAGTTTTTTGAGAAATCGGAAGTAGCGTAAATAAGTACTTCCGGTCAACGAAAAATTCTCAAAATTTGACAGAAGGTAGAGAATTAGATCTTTTACTTACATATCAAATTTCATTTATCTATCTGAAATAGTACTCAAGTTATAGGCTTTTGAAAAATTCAAAGAAGAAAAAGTACCACTTCCGGTTATCCGAAATCGCTCAAAAGTTGATACGGATCTACGATTTTGATAAAATACTTGTATATGAAATTTCATCAACCTAGCTGTAACGGTACTCAAGTTATCGTGTTTACACACGGACACACACACACACACACACAGACACACAGACATACGGACAAGATTGCAAAATTATGTTTTTCCGTATCAGTGAGATGTAAAACGTCGAGATTTGCAAAAATCTCGATTTTTTTTTTTGCACGATTACAAGACTTTCTCTATACTTCGTATATACGAGAAAGTAAAAAATGTGCACCTAAAAAATGGGTTCTGTTGATAAACTGTTGGCTCGGCCTATCAGATAAGGTTTTATAAAAATGTGAAGCCGGAAGTAAACAGATTGATGAGATATGCAACTGCGGGTCAATTTATGTTATACTCTACACATCGCTAGTCTAGAGTCTAGAGCATCAATTCTCTATCGCTAGTCTATCGGGTGTTTGTCGCATTCGGGCAGTTGTCCCATTCGGGTGTTTGTCGCATTCGGGCAAGTGTCCATCGGGGAAAGCGGCATTTGGGAAGGTTTCCTTCGGGAATTTGTTGTAGACCCACCTATATTGTAAACAAAGTTCTTCCTGCCTGGAGCCAACGGAAGGCCTACGATTATAATAATAGTCATGTCACTTTATATTCATTTAGTAGGCCTAACCCTAACCCACGATTATAAAAATAGTCATGTCACTTTATATTCATTTAGTAGGCCTAACCCTAACCCACGATTATAATTATAGTCATGTCACTTTATATTCATTTAGTAGGCCTAACCCTAACCCACGATTATAATTATAGTCATGTCACTTTATATTCATTTAGTAGGCCTAACCCTAACCCACGATTATAAAAATAGTCATGTCACTTTATATTCATTTAGTAGGCCTAACCCTAACCCACGATTATAATTATAGTCATGTCACTTTATATTCATTTAGTAGGCCTAACCCTAACCCACGATTATAATTATAGTCATGTCACTTTATATTCATTTAGTAGGCCTAACCCTAACCCAGTGGAAGGCCCACGATTATAAAAATAGTCATGTCACTCTATATTCATGTGTCATCAATCCACTATTCATTTTCCCGTCCCACAAAGCTAGGCTGATGTAATTTACTTAGGCCTACTGGTCTGATTTTATTGGTTGAGCAAGATCAATCAAAAACCCATTTATTATTTTAGGTGAGAGTTCACGTTATATTGTTGGACATGAAGCGATGACAGCTAACACTACAAATGTTTGTATTGTAGAGCTTATGTCCAACTACAGGACATCCGTATATTTTCATGTGGGAAAAAAATCTCATACTTTCGTATTTGTAAACATTCAACATTCATTGAGACTGTAAGAAACAGTTTCCAGATTCAACATTCAACACTGGGTTTTGCAATGCTGACCGTGTGTGTGTGTGTGTCTGTGTGTGTGTGTGTGTGTGTGTGTGTGAGTGTGTGTGTGTGTGTGTGTGTGTAAACAGGATAACTTGAGTAGGTCTACCCTTACAGCTAGGTTGATGAAATTTCATATATACGTATTATATCAAATTTGTAGTTCTGTATCAACTTTTCAGCGATTTCCGATAACTGGAAGTGGGACTTATTCTACTTTTAGTTTTTTAAAAGCCTATAACTTGAGTACTGATTCAGATAGATAAACGAAATTTCACATATAAGTAAAAGATCTAATTTTTTGCCTTCTATCAAATTCTGAGTAATTTTTGGTTACGGGAAGTAGTAATTTAAGCTCTTTCCGATTTCTCAAAAAATGAAAATGAATTTATAAAGTACTAATAATATTCCGCAGATTGTTTGGCTTTCCATTGGTGCGCAATTCTTTTTTCTATGAGATTCTATTTTAAAAAGTTTAAGTAATAAAAATTGATTAAAAATCATGTCTATATCCGGCGTTTCCATTCCCCGTAGTGTTATAAAAATATTCGAGAAAGTTTAGGGGAGATCACTCCCGGTTTATTTTCATAGGGAACAACTGATATTTAGTTGGTAAATAAAATGGCAGCCCTGAATGCTTGCAAGTGAGAGTGTTGAACCTATTCAGTATTTTTATCTATTTTTGTTACCACCGCGCTAAGCGATCAGATGCGATCTGATGAAATAACTTTCAATTGCCGTGCGGCGTCAAAACGACCAATGACAAAACTGCCCCGTCAAATTGACCCCGTCAAAAGGTCCAGCGACAAATGGACCCCGTCATATAGACTTTCGAAAAATAGGCTCCCGTCATTTAGGCTCCCGACAAATAGGCCTATACTCCTGTCATTTTGGCTCACGACAAAAGGGCCCCTGTAAATATGGTTTTCGTAAAGACTGAGCCTCACGGCGAAAGGTACACATTGAATATGAGAACTGCCAACGGCACCCCTCCCTTCATCAATACTCTTTAAAATTAGCTTAGCCAACACAATACAATGTATGTATCTCTTGTTCGGCAGGCCTGATTTTATATTATTTTTATGTAGTATAAGAATTGAAGTTGGGTGCTATCTAATGAAGATGGGTGCTAATGTGTGTTCAAGTAATAATCTAGTAAGATATTAATGTGCTAAAGTGTAGATGTGTGTGGGATGTGATGATGGTTAGAATGTGCTAGTGTGTACCGGTGTGTAGACCGTGTTATTGTGTAGAGATGTACACAATAATGAGATGTACACAATAATGAGATGTCCACAATAATGAGATGTACACAAGGATGAGATGTACACAATAATGAGATGTCCACAATAATGAGATGTCCACAATAATGAGATGTACACAATAATGAGATGTCCACAATAATGAGATGTACACAAGGATGAGATGTCCACAATAATGAGATGTTTACAATAATGAGATGTACACAATAATGAGATGTACACAAGGATGAGATGTCCACAATAATGAGATGTACACAATAATGAGATGTCCACAATAATGAGATGTACACAAGGATGAGATGTCCACAATAATGAGATGTACACAAGGATGAGATGTACACAAGGATGAGATGTCCACAATAATGAGATGTTTACAATAATGAGATGTACACAATAATGAGATGTACACAAGGATGAGATGTCCACAATAATGAGATGTTTACAATAATGAGATGTACACAATAATGAGATGTCCACAATAATGAGATGTACACAAGGATGAGATGTCCACAATAATGAGATGTACACAAGGATGAGATGTCCACAATAATGAGATGTACACAAGGATGAGATGTCCACAATAATGAGATGTACACAATAATGAGATGTACACAATAATGAGATGTCCACAATAATGAGATGTACACAATAATGAGATGTCCACAATAATGAGATGTACACAATAATGAGATGTACACAATAATGAGATGTCCACAATAATGAGATGTCCACAAGGATGAGATGTCCACAATAATGAGATGTCCACAATAATGAGATGTCCACAATAATGAGATGTCCACAAGGATGAGATGTCCACAATAATGAGATGTCCACAAGGATGAGATGTCCACAATAATGAGATGTCCACAAGGATGAGAAACCTTAAGACAAACTCCGGGGGTCGGGGGTTAGCCCGGGGATCGGGGGTTAGCCCGGGGGTCGGGATAAACCAACGCACGAACTCGACTGATGTGAGTAGTAGTTGTTAGGAGGGGGAGGGGGGAGGGGGGAGGGACTGTGTGAATTATTTGTTCAATATATCTGTGAATGCTGGGATAGGTCTGTTTGAATAAGTTGGTCTACAGATGTGTGAGTGAATTAGTTGGTCTACAGATGTGTGAGTGAATTAGTTGGTCTACAGATGTGTGAGTGAATTAGTTGGCCTACAGATGTGTGAGTGAATTA